CTAACCTGTAGCCGCCGTGTCCGCAGCTGGAATTGGCTATGGGCCTGCCTCCGCACTCTGATCTCTGTCCTCTACAATCTGCAACCACCACTCACTAAAAAAAAAAAAAAAAAAAAAAAAAGACAGATGAATGCCAGGAAACCGTCCGACTCCATCAGCTTTTTGTGGCTAACCTATACCCGCCGTGTCCGTAGCCGGAATTGGCTATGGGCTTGCCTCCTCACTATGATCACGGCCTCCTTACCCTCCTCATGCAGAATGAACTTAAAGGCCTTCAAATCAAGCACGACGGTAAGTTGGTTGCCGTCGATCCCCTGCCCGACGCGTTTCTCGTTAACATCATAGATCATATGGAGGCAGTGTTTTAAACGAAAGTGAAGTAATAAACGAAAAAACATCCAAATAATCCGAAAAGCCAGGTTAGTTTAAACAAAAATTCATTCATGATGTCATATCCTATATAAGCTAATTAATTACAGATAGTCTACTCCTTTTTCAAGCTAATTAATTATAAATTTTCTTGACTAATTTCATTTTCAGCATAGATTAAAATTTTAAAAATGAATTGAAAACTTATTTGATAATCCACAAGAGTAGAAATTAAACTACAAGATATATATAATTTTTTATTAAAAAAAAGTAAATATTTTTTACATATAAATTCAGATAATGATGAATTAGTGAAAATAGAAAAAAAGTATCAAGAATACATGAAGCAGTTTCCAATTCATTGTGATGGATTTTGCTGTAGAGCAGTTTCCAATCACGGGAGACAGAAGAGGCATGAACAATATCAGATAGATCATCCAAAAATGTCATAATCTTTAGTGACACGTCGTGATTAAGGTAGTTCAAGAAATCCAGAGGAGTTCCCATTCTTACAAACGATGCCCACCAACTCCGTTAAAATTCTTCTTCTAAGCTTGAATTCCTGACACAGTATCAAAAATTCAAAACAAGCAAAGTTTGAGCAAATTTTTTTTAAAAAAAAAAAAACCCAAAAAGTAACAGATAAAAAAAAAATCATGGGGTAGTCGAAATTAAAATAGAAACACAGCAAAATTACTAAATTCTGCAGAGGAAGAGACTAAAACAACAAATTGGGTAATGGAAAAGGGGAAAAAGAGGGAAAAGAAACATGGGAAAGACACAGCTTTGGAGAAGGAAAAGGAGAAGGGAAGGGAAAGGAATCAAAGTTAAGAAATTTATCACCTCGTTGGAAACCCTAGAGGGAGAGAATCGGCAAATAAAGAAAGGTGATGAGAATGGAGATGCTCACCTTTTCACTGTTCTATACTGCTGTGCTATGTCCTGTTTTGTGGCCGAGGAAAGGTAAGCTGTGGATTGTGATGGATTTCGATGTAGATTAGTTGACAAAGATGACCGAAGGGTGGATAATCACGGTGGTTGTTGGCTGTTGGCTGCTGTGGTGTGGTGGTGAGTGGTGGTTGCAGATTGTAGAGGACAGAGATCAGAGTGCGGAGGCAGGCCCATAGCCAATTCCAGCTGCGGACACGGCGGCTACAGGTTAGCCACAAAAAGCTGATGGAGTCGGACGGTTTCTTGGCATTCATCTGTTTTTTTTTTTTTTTTCAAACCTTTAGTCAGCGATGGGATCCACAAATAAAATTGGTAGTAGGTAGACTTCCCGCTCATGGAATCCAAGTTGGCATGTCAAGTTGTCAAAAAGGTCTGAGGTGGCCCTGACATATGCATACTTGATGGAGGCCAATAGTGCATGTGCTACACGTGACACTCCGACATTAAATTTTATCTCATTTCCTCAAACTCGAAAATATGAAAGGTAAAAATCCATGTATTGTAATATGGAGAGTAAAAAGCTTCAAATTCAAAAAGTTAAAGGGCAAACAGGTACCTTTTGCTCTTAGATTTGAAAGTTTCTGCTTGGGTGATGATCTGGGTATTAATGAAATAGTTTTTTT